CTTTTAGATGAGATCCTGTGATGGGTGCTTCACACATGACCTCATAACAATCCTTCCAAGTAGATCATATTACCCCCACTTTACAAGTGTGAAAATTGAGGTCCAGTAAGGCAAGATGACTTTTCTAATGATTCACTGATAAGTGATGGAGACCCACTTTCCTGACTCTGCAATACCTTGTCTTTCCTCTATTATTGTACTGTTGCTGCTTTTTACAACTTCTCTACCAAATGTGGAGATGATGACCCTTATCATCACAGCTGTCCTTTTGAGTCATTCTTTCATGGTACTCTCCAAATAGACCTACAAGCATAAGCAAGTCACATCACCTCTGTGCCCGTCGCCTCATCTATAAAATTGAAGGTACGAGTCTCTACTTCACATGGGTGTTAAAATCATCGTTCAAAGTATTGAGGTTGTATTTTTAGAGCATTTAGCCCATATGAAGTTCTCAGTAAATGCTCATTCTTATTTTGTTTGGAAATGGTAATTTGCCCCTAATAATAATACCAGGCAATTCCCTTCATACGAAATCATATTTAAAAAATAAATAAATTGTCTTTTTTTAAAAAGTTTTTTTTTATGAAAACACACAGAATCAATTGCACTACCCATGTATTCTCAATAGCAGAGAAACTGATGGTGGATCATCCCCATGGAGAATATGTGTCCTTTGGCAAAACCAACATAAATTATGGAAATAACATCAATAAAATAACACAACACATAATGAAGATTAAATTAAGAGAAGGAACAAAGACTACTGAGAGGAGCTGTGAACATGGAGAGGATGTGTCTCAGTGAGAAGTGTCAGGCTCAGGTACCTTTCCTGGAGACTTGCTGCCCTTGTCCCTGGAGTGGCTCAGTTCAGCTCCAAGTCATTCATGTAGTCCTGGACCCAGGCCTCACTGGGGTTGGCACAGACGTGTCTGCCCTTTTTGGTTTGGAATCTGTGGAACAAGAAGTAGATAGATTACAATCAATGGGACCTTGTCTGTGGTAGATATCTCCCTCTGTTCATGTTGGACAGTTCTAGTGGGTGAGAGGATGCTGCTGGGGCAATACTAGAAATGAATTTCTTGTAACTTCTACCCTGGATTTAGCTGTGGCCTCAAGGTTGTCCAGATTAGGAACCAATGAGTTTTACAATCAATATGGCTATATTTTCCCATTCATTCCCTAGATCCCCTAGCAATCACTTTTCCATGTGTTTTTCTAAGCATGGTTTAAGAAATTAGCCCACATGTCCTTTGATCTTTTTTAATTTCCCTGGTTTCCTAGCCTCTAATTTCTTCATAACCTATTCCTTACTGCTGTCTGGGAAGGCTTCAACCCTGAGACTGTCTTCCTCCTGTTTTATCCTCTCCCTGCCCCCAAATGCCCCTTATCTAATCCTGCCCTTGCCCTTGCATCCCAAAGCAGCCCAGGGCATGATACTTACACCATGGTGGGCTGGGAGCAAAGGCTACTGGTCTTGTAGTAATCCATCACAAAGATCATAGAGCTGGATTGAGTCTCAGAGCACACATATACCTCCATTTTTAAAAATCAAATCTTTATTGTTGAAAATATTACATATAGCTCCTATTTCCCCCCATTGACCCTTCTAGCCTGTCTCCTTTGCCCACCCCAGGCCTTCACTATCCTATTGTCTGTGTCCGTGGGTTATGCATATATGCATAAAAATTATTTGATTACTTCCCACCCTCCCCTGCCTTCCCTCTGAGATTCTGCAGTCTGTTCTATGCTTCTAGGTCTCTAGATTTATTTTGTTCATCAGTTTATTTTGTTTGTTAGGTTCCACACATGAGTGGGATCATGTGATACTTATCTTTCTCTGACTGGCTTATTTCCCTTAGCATCATGCTTTCCAGGTTCCTTCATGCTGTCTCAAAGAGTAAGAGATCCTTCTTTTTTATTGCTGCATAGTATTCCATGGTGTAAATGTACCTCAGCTTTTTTTTATCCACTCATATACTGATGGGCACTAGACACAGGGTCTTTCTTAAACAAGTCTACGAGTTACTATTTTTTAAGGAAACGGGAATTTGAATATTACTGAACGTCTGCTAGACACTACATTTGACAGAAGCCTACTTAAAAATTTTCCCAGCTCCCTTTTGTCCCATCCCCAGATGCCAATGTTGGATCAGCCCCCACTAGAAAAGTGGGTTCTGCCTATACCATGGCTTTGCTTATACCATGGCTCTCGAAGTAGTACCTGAAATAACAGACTTACTTGGTGCTGAGAGCGCTGGAGAGCAGAAGGCAGCCACTAGCACAAGGAAAGAGAGGACAGCCACACAGAGCTTCATGGTCTTGGCGGAGAAGAGGCTTTCCTGAGAGTGAGAAGCTCTGCACTGCTTCTTTTCCCCCAGGGTGATGTCATCATGATGGAAAGGATGAGGTGGAGGGGAGAAGTGGGCTGCACTCTAAAGTGGTACACTAAGGCAGTGACTGAGACGGAGGAGAGAATTGTAAACCCAAGAGGAAGGATGCAACATTCACACCTGCTAGAAGGAGTTTGTATATAAGAGCTCCATGCTGCTCTTGGTGGTTGGCACCTTCAGAAGCTGCAGGCTTCACATCAGTCTTTCCAGGATTGTCAAAGAAGGAAAGAGGATCCAAAATTCCATGTCACATTCCTGGGCCTTCTTCTGCTGGACTGAGTGATCTCAGTGCCCTACATGTTTTCTGGGACATGAAGAAAGAGTCCAGCATGGAATGTGCAGGAGGATACAGCAGGACAATAATCTACTCACTGAACATTTACTATGTGCCAGGCACTGGGAAAGTTGTCTATTCACCTAACATCAAATCCCACCTTGACCCTGAGTGGGGGTATAATTATTTCCCTGAAGCAATAAGGATGGAAGAACAGAGGAGAGTTCACTGATGATCTCAAGGCCACACTCTTTTTTAAAAAAAATATATTTTATTGATTTTTTACAGAGA